ATTGATATTATAAAGAAGTCTAAATCATGTTGACAAGAGTTAATCCAATCATATTGCTATATTGAAGACTCTTGTGTTTGCTTGTTTAAGGACTCATACTAATATACGAAATGCAGTCTTGTATTCCTTGTAGGATTGTTATAGGGCAATCCGAGTCTTGTAGTATAAAACCACAAGCCCCTACTCTCACAAAAACACGCTCTTATTGTTCCAATTATCTATAACTTGGAGAGCATTGAATTTTGTAGAGAGGAGAAGGTTGTGTGTAGATTCGTCCATGGCTTCTTCATCCATAACGTGTCTGTGTTAAACTTAGAAACACTGCAGCTTTTCAAATCAATTTCATATCTCAGGCTTTACGGGAATGTTTTGTTATATACACTACAACATACAACTTTACAATTTAAAATACAAGTAACAACACGCCACACATGCAGCAACATCATTTGCTTTCTTCTGACAGCACACATGGTAAAGACTTCGTCTAACAGTTTGCAGGTATGTATTGTTCAGAACACTTCAATATTTGTATACATAGAACATACTTGATGCAACGGTTGTGATTTAGTTCGTTAATCCTTGTGTTCTTGGCTAGTGTATTAATCTTTTATGTCTAGTTTACTCTTATAGGTCCAACATGATCAGCAAGTTATTTTTCCCACAAACTACAGTAAAAACTAAACTGCCAAACATTTCTTTTGTAATTATATTTTTCATTTCCATCAATTGGTGCAAATTCACACACTTTCATCAACACCGGGGCAATAGTTACGTGCATAAAAAAACTTCCAAAGAAGCCGAGGCCTCTTATTGGGGATTCTGAATGGCTACATTAGTCTAAGTTCCGCAATGATCGCACAAATATACCATGCTTTGTATGGTGATGACACAAAGTCCTTTACTCTCTTTATGGCATGGCTTCCCTTAGCAGTTTCCTTGATCTTTCTTCATACCATTCAGATCATCAACGCTGCACCAACAAAGAATGACACTAGGGTTTTTTTTTTTGTTTTATAAATTCTTGTTTATATCTCTTGGAATGGTAGGTTCTTGTTGATGATAACCCTCGTAGAGCAAAAGGTGAAGTTCACACAAGCTAAGTATGGTGGAGCTCAGTTGTGGTACTTTTCTTGCTCTTTCTCCCACTTGGTATTGTTGTTGTTGCTGAAGAGTACAATTCCTAGAGGAACAAGAGATTAAGTAGTGAAAATCATGATAATGATCAAAGAAAAAGCGTTGTTTTAATCGCGACATCAGTGTCTCACAAGAACAAACCTTCTTGTTGGGAAAATATATATAGTCCTCATGAGATACAGCAGGACTACACTATACTCCAAGTAGTGCTCAACATTGAGATGATAACTTTGTTCATGACAACACTTTGTGGTATCAGCGGCATGTTGACGATGATGGACAATTTAGGTCAAATTGGGACAGCCTTAAGGTACTCCTTGGACAGTATAAGAATTTTTGTTTCCATCACAAGCATATGGACTTAGCTTGGACAAGTCATGGTGGGATTAGTCTCAGACATTTTTATCACAAAGTGCAAATGCTCTAGGCCTCTAATGTTCACTTTGTCCTTCCTGTTGTCCTGCGTTGGCCACCTTCTAATTGCATTCGATGTCCCAAATGGCCTTTATGTGGCTTCAATCATCATAGGATTTTAGTTTGGTGAGAGAGGTCATTGATTTTTGCAATCACTTTTGAGATTTTTGGGCTTAAACATTGTTCTACTTTGACCAATGTTGGGCAAATGGCTTGCCAACTTGGGTCATTTTTGCTTAATGTGAAGGTCATAGGGTTTCTATACGATAAGAAGGCAGAGAAACAACTGAGAGCTGTGGGATTGGAAAGGAAGCATGGGGAAGGATTAAATTGTACTGGAGGACAATGTTACAGATTATCCTTCATTATAATTAATATCGTGGCATTTCTTGGTGTGCTAAGGCCATCTCCAACCAAAGGAGGGCTAGAGGGCTTGTTTTAACCTTCTGGCACTCCAAGAAATTAATATTTTATTGAATAGTGCAGGGTCATATTTCTTACCATCTCCAATTGAGAGCCAAACATAATTTATTATTTAAATTTAAAAACTACAACACCTTAAATTTAAAAACTACAAATTAAATTTAAAAACAATAACAACTTAAATTTATAGGAAAAGAAGGGCTTGTACAAAAATATATGATGGGCCTAATTTGCCTTTGAATCCAAGAACTGGTAGTATCTCTTTAAATGAGTACATGAGGCGCCATAGTATGATATGTTCCCATGCCACAAACAAGTACCTACAACAGGATCTTGTTGCGCATCTTTGGAACAAAAGAAGCATGGAAGGCGTTTAAGTTTCATGTTGTTAAATATTTTTTTTTTGTTTAATGGCTTAGGAAGTTATAAGAAAAAAAATAGTATTAATTTTTTTTAATTTGTAAAAAAAAAACTGTAAAAAAAACAATAAAATATAACGGCTAACTGACGTCAGTTAGCCGTTGCATTCAAATTTGTGGCCCAACTCGAGGCTGGCTGGGTTGGGCCAGCCGGTTGGCCATTTGGCCATTTTTTGTCCCATGGGGCCCACAAGCCCTTTGACCTAGCCCTCTGTTGAAGACAATTTTCTAGCTATTTTCGCTCTGTGACCCTCTGGACCATTCGATTGGAGATGACCTAATATCTCTGGTTTTGATGGTTCAGACTAGGAAATTTTTAGACCAGTGATGTTAATAACAAGTACAAAGATGAGGCAGCACATAAGCTTGAAATAGAGGTGGTGAGTAGGGATGGGCAATGGTTATGCGGGCGGGTAACCGCGGTTAATTTACTCATAACCGTTTATGCTAATACCCGCATAACCGTTTACCTGTTGAGTAATTGCCTAAACGGTTATACCCATACCCATAACCGTTTATAAATGGTTAACCATACCCATAACCACATACCCATTTAATCGTAACCGTTTAATACCCATTTACCCATTTATCCTTTTTAACCCGTTTATCTTTTTTTTTTTACCATTACTCTTTTTTCACCTGTCTACATGGTAAATAATAGTTTACGGACGATATTTTTAATTGTTACCAATGAAGGTAAATATAATATTTGCTAAGTATTATTGGGTTACAAAAATTGTTTAGAAGACATTTCTGTCAAAGCATTTCTGTCAATTTCACGGTTACCCGCAAGGAATTTAAATTAATTTGGCCAATTCCTTGATGATGAGAATCATCATTCCTATAGTAGTGTTATTGAGAGAATGACCGATGAATTCTTTGCTAATTTATTGAGTGCTAAGTATTATTGGATCGAGAACATGGTTTGTGTTAGTTTTACATATATAAAATAAATAGGTAAACGGTTACCTGTTTATAACCGTGGTTAATACCCATAACCGCCCATTTAAATTTCGCAGGTAAACGGTTATACCCATAACCGTTTATATTTCTAAACGGTTACCCATAACCGTAACCGTTTAATTTAAATTGGCGGGTAACCGCGGTTACCCATAACCAATGGGTATTTGTCCATCCCTAGTGGTGAATGATGGTGGCTAATTAAGGTTATGTGCTAAATAGACATGATGGGTGGGTTTAATTAATAAGAGTGTTATCTCTTTGTTTTAAATTATGATGGTAGGGCCACTTAGTACTACGGTCTAATGGTATTCTTCTGTACTTGTAAGTGAGAGGTATTAAGTTCAATTTTCGCCAAAGACGAATTTGAACCCATTGTGAGGCTTAGCCACTTCCCAACCCCCTTAGTGTAGTTAAAATTGTTTGTTAAAAAAGAAGTTGATTTAACAAATTTTCACTTTATTAGTGGTAAATTGACGATAAAATTTCATTAGACAAATAAATTAGTAAAGAGCTTACCAATATCTTTAAGTTACGTAAATTTTTAATTTTATATCGTATTAGATTTATTAGCATCGTAACTTACAATATTGAGAAACTAAATTTCGCTGGTTTTGTTTTTTTTTTTCAAACCTTACCCACATATCAACATAACATCTCTAATTTGAAAAAAAAAATCCACATTTTCTCTGTCTCATATTTCTCCCCATCTTCTTTCTTTTCACTATTGTAGTTTTATTTTTCTTTTTAAAATTTTATATTTACACACATAATGTGTGGGCTTGATCTAGTTTAAATGATGCAAGGGCCAAATTAAAAATTAATAGCATGATAATACTAGAGTGGAGAGTCTCACATTACGTTAGCACATTAACAGATTTTTAACGGAATTCAAACAGAAAGACGACATTGATTTGCAACACCCTTATTCAGGGACAACATTGATTGATTTTCAACTTTGTGGACCATCTTGATGGAGTGGGTCAATTTCAGAGATCATCTGTGATTAAAAAAAACCCACAAAAAGTATGTGTAAATTTCAGTTTTTTTTTTCATGTGTCAATTATATGAGTTCCAAGTATGTATTAAATTACCTTGTAGATGAAAATTGATCATTTACATTCCACATGATTGATGAAATTATAAAACTTAAATTGAAAGTATACAGAGCAAAATGAATAAGATCCACAATTCATAAGGCATTACTAGATTTTTCATAGAAATTAATAAAATAATTCTTTTGATAAATTATCCATATTTTTCAAAAGAATACTACTAGGTTACTAAATTTTCAACAGCCACTCTTGTTTTCATCGAATTAAATTTAAATAGTATCTAGTTTGTATTTACAATTTCAACTATTTAGACACTTGTCCAAATCTAATTAAATAAAAGCAAAAGTGACTGGTGAATTTTCAATAGCTAAGTATTGTTATTTTCAAAATAAAAATTCCTTGAAAAAAAAGAATTCCAAATTTGTAGCAACAACATGTCACCAACACTTGTTTCCATTAATTCACCAAGAATAAACTGATTTGACGATAATACCCACGCCAAAGCATCAAAAAGTATAAACAAAGGACAGAAATGTAAAATCTCACATTCTATTACCCCACCTGCCACCTACACATAAAAAAGCTGAGAGCTTTGAGGCCCAATTCACCATTTGGCAGTGGCACCAAAGACTGTAACTTCTCTCTCTCTCTCTCGCTGCATGTCAGATTGAGGCATTCGTTCTCTGAAACCTCACATTGTGATGGCGTCGAAGGGAAAGGGGATCGCCGCCGGAGGTGGATTCTCCGGCGGGAAGCGCAAGCACGACGACGACAAGTCCGGTGGTGGCCGGAAGAGGAGCAACCCCGGCGTCCTCAGATTCTTCGAAGACGCCGCTGCCGAATCCGACGACGAAATCGACAGTGATTTCGATGACGGTATATTCTGTTTCTGACTTCGTTTTGGATCGCGCATTTTCCGTCTAGGTTCGGATTTCTAGGGTTTTTGAATGGGTCGTTCATTTTTTTTTTTTTGAGCTTTCTTTGTGCATGTTGACAGGGTTTTCTTTATTAATTTTTATGCGTTTTCCTTTGTATGTTTGAATTTCTGGCTTTTGTGGTTGCTTGGTGGAGGTTCAATTTTTTATATAGTTTTTTGATCAATTTATTTTTGAAGTGCATAGTGGGGTTGTTTAATTTCTTGAACTTGTTTGTTGACCATAATGTAAAATGGTTTTGAGAGACTTTCTTCGATTTCACTGGGTCGATACCAATTTCGCACCATGAAACTTATGTTCATTTGGACTTGTTGTGCCGATGTTGTTTAGTATGCACTATTACAGTTGCATGCTGTGTTATATGGGATATCTAAACACATTTTGGGTTGGTGATGGTTATATTAAGCGACGCATGTGGCCCTCTACCACAGTGGTGGAGAGGAGTGTTTCCCTTGCATCACGGCGTGGGTTTGAACCCCATTGACTCCCTAATCTAACATCTAATCTAACATATCTATCGTTTGGAAAGTGGCCCCTTACCAAAGTGGTGGAAAGGTGTTGAGCCTTGCATGATGGCGTGGATTCAACCCCGCTGGTAGCTAATCTAACAAAATCTATCGTTTCACCAAAAAAAAAAAAAAATGGTTATAATAAGTCTGTGCCCACATTGTGAAGTCCATCAAAACAAGCTGCACTTTTGCGGTAGATGGTGAAATTTTGGCGTAAATGTACAGGGTTAGTGATGACTATAGCAGTCATGGAATATGTCTTAGGTGTGCAAAAAAAGTACCATGATAAATGAGTCTGCATTTCACCTATGAAATCTGTGTTTACAGTGGAACCTTCTTTTGAAATGATTGATTGCAGATTTTATGGACGAAGAATTTGAAACAGAACCTGTAGCCCAGAATGACCCAGGGAAAGCACATAACCTTCCATTCGTTCCTAAAGAGGAGGATCTGGATGGTGAAGAATTTGAAAAAATGATGGAAGAACGATACAGGAGTGGTTCTAGCTATGCAACCTATGCTGAAGATAATTTTGAGAACAAAAGGTCGATTGATGGAAATGTTCTGCCTTCTGTTAAGGATCCAGTCATCTGGAAAGTGAAATGCATGGTATGACATTGAACGTTTTGTTACATATTTTTTTTCTGGGTAGAAAAGTTCTGAAATAGCTCCAAACAACTCTCTCTCTCTCTCTCTCTCTCTCTCTCTCTCTCTCTCTGTTTTTTTAATTTTTTCTATAAAGAACCACAATCATTTCTCATTCAAATGTTTTGGGCTGTAGGTTGGACGTGAGAGGCATTCAGCTTTCTGTATGATGCAAAAGTTTGTTGACTTCCGATCACTAGGTACCAAACTACAGATTGTTTCTGCATTTGCTGTTGAGCACATCAAGGGTTTTGTTTTCATTGAAGCTGACAAGCAGTCTGATATTAATGAGGTGATCGTTTCTTTGGATGTTGTAGAAAGTTGATCTTTTTATTAGTCAATACAGGAAAAGTTTCTTGTTTGGGCAATACTATTCTTAATCCTAATATACTAATATCTGAACTATCATTGATTTTCTTAGGCATGTAAAGGAATTTGTAGTATATACCCTTCCCGAGTAATGCCAGTTCCAAATAACGAAGTTTCTCATTTGCTGTCTCCTCGGACTAAATCCAATGGAATTACTGCTGGCATGTGGGCCCGTGTGAAGAATGGGAACTACAAGGGTGATTTGGCACAGGTATAATTTATCCCAAGTTGGGTTGGTTGGGTTGCTTTAACGGTTGACACTCATTTCCGCTATCTGGATTTTGTTTCTGTAGGTTGTGTTTGTGAACGATTTACGAAAAAGAGCGACCTTAAAGCTGATCCCCAGAATTGATCTTCAAGCAATGGCTGCAAAATTTGTAATAAATATCTTTCCTGTATCTGTTTGTTGTTTGTGTTTCTTTATCACATGCTTTCCTCTTTCTGTTTGTTGGTTACGGTTTCATTGTCATCATTATCTTTCCTCTAATGCTTGTTTAATTGGTTTTGGATATGTGATGTCTTTGTGTATCTGTAACTTTGCTATCCAGATTTTATTTTGAATCTGAATATGATTTAAGATTCTGTATATGTTGATTCCTTTCACTCTATAGGGTGGAGGAGGTACTAGAAAGAAAAGGCCTGCTCCTGCCCCGAGATTGATCAGCTCAAACGAACTCGAGTATGACACAGATCATTGGATGGTAGTTCGTTATTTCATGCTAGTTTCTGATCTAATAATTATTTATTTATTTATTTTGCGTGTAGGGAGTTCCGCCCTCTCATTCAGTACAGGACTGATCGTGAAAGTGGCATGAAGTTTGAGTTTCTTGATGGTCTGATGTTCAAGGATGGATATTTGTACAAAAAAGTATCAATAGATTCATTAAGCTTCTGGGGTGTTATGCCATCAGAAGAGGAACTACTGAAATTCAAGCCTTCTGAGAACACCAAAAATGAGGATGAGGACTGGCTTACTGAACTTTATGGTACAACAGAAAAGAAAAGGCGGACCATCAAAATTGAAGAAGGTGGTGGTAAAGGAGAGGGTTCATCAGGTTCTATGGGGAAAGGAGAGGGTTCATCAGGGTCTATGGGGAAAGGAGAGGGCTCATCAGGGTCTATGGGGAAAGGAGAGGGTTCATCAGGACCTATGGGGAAAGGAGAGGGCTCATCGCAGTCTATGGGGAAAGGAGAGGGTTCATCTGGGTCCAAGGGGAAAGGAGAAGGTTCATCAGGTTCTATGGGGAAGGGAGAGGACTCATCAACGTCTATGGGGAAAGGCGGGGGTTCTTCAGGTTCTGGTGGGAGTGGTTTTGAACTGTATGATCTTGTTTGTTTTGGGTGAGTCCTGTACGAACTTATGTGACCTTGGTGAGCTGCCATGAACTGCTTATGTACATCAAAATGATTTTTACTGGTCATGATTTCTTTTGCAGCCGGAAAGATTTTGGTCTTGTAATAGGCATGGAGAAAGATGATAGTTACAAGGTACAAAATCTAGTTTGTTTCCTCAGATGATTTAAAATCCGTACTAACACTATAATGTGTGTCCTAGATTCTGAAAGAGGGAGTGGAAGGACCTATTGTGCTGATGGTTCAGAAACGTGAGTTAAAGAATGTTCTTTCTGATATGAAATTTACGGCTTTAGATCGGCACATGAAGGCCATATGCGTTAGTGATACTGTCAAAGTGTCGGAAGGACCGTTGGAGGTTTGACACAACCTGAGATCATTATCTTAGTACTTGAAAAAGAGTTTAGTGAGGTACACTGTACATATGCCTCCATAGTCTGGAGTATTTCACTAGTTTGTCCCAATTTTGCAGGGTAGGCAGGGTATTGTTAAGCAAATATATAGAGGCACCATATTCTTGTATGATGAGAACCAGTCAGAAAATGGTGGTTATTTTTGCTCAAAATCCCAAATGTGTGAGAAAGTTAAGCTTTACATTGATTCTAGCAAAGAAATGGTAGGAAGCCTTTTTTTTTTGTTCCTTGAGTATTCTTGTACGGTATATTTCATATTAGCATGAAGGTGTTGGTAATGATATTTCTTTCTCATTCAGGATGGGGACTCAGGTGCTCTGGGTTTTGGAGATTTCATGTCGTCTCCTAAATCCCCGCTATCGCCAAAAAAGCCATGGCAAGAAAGGGATAGTAACTGTATGTATCAGTGCTGATGCTGTGATTTAAGTTTTCAAATGTTAATATCAAGTTTTCTGCCTCCTGATTAATTATTTAATGCAGTCAATCAGGGTGATAAAGATGGAATGTTCTCAATTGGTCAAACTGTAAGAATCCGTGTGGGTCCGTTGAAGGGATACCTCTGTCGAATCTTGGCTATACGTCGTGCTGATATTACTGTTAAGCTTGATTCTCAGCAAAAGGTTCTCACAGGTTGGTCAATATCATTTTGATTACTGTGTGGAGTTTGGCTGGTTGATCATTGAATGCAATTCTATATCTGTCATAATTTTGTTGTTTCATCGTTATGCAGTTACAAAAGAGCATATTTCTGAAGTTCGTGGAAAGAGTTCTAGTGTGCTGATTAGGTAATTATTTTTAGTCAATTAATTATTTATGCCAAGCTTTTCATTACTTAATTGTCTTTTCAATAAGTCTGCTAATGTCCTCTTTATCTGTAAAGTGAGGATCCGGAGTCCAGTTTAAAACCATTTGATTTGCTCGGAACGGAAGGAGGGTCTAATGGTATGAATCTTCTGGAAGCAATTTCTACTTCCATTCCATTCTTTAGTTTTATCTTAAGCTATACATGGGGCAATGTTTCTCTATTCCGGACAATTTGACATGGTGTACTGTTAAAGTTATTAATCTTGACCGCATTCAGTTGGTTATCAATGTAGTCAACATAACATGCCACATATCTGGAAAGAGCACTGTTGTATTCAGATATTTTGTTTTTGACCCCTAAAAAATAAAAATGTGACCTATGGTGCTTGTTATATTTGAAGACTGGACAAATGGAGCTGGGGTATCTGCTGGGGGTGATGGGTGGAATGCTGGAGGGGCATCAGCCGGGGGTGGTGGGTGGAATGCTGGAGGGGCATCTGGTGATAGGTAACCCAACAAAATTCGTCTTATATTGTACAAAACGCAGTTTCTGTTTGTTTATTTGATATGTTTTTTTACCATGTTTCTTTGTGTATGATCTGAGGCTGATGGCCACTTTCTTGCAGTAATTCTTGGGCTAGTGCAAATCCTATTAATGATGTGAAAAAGGGTATGTTCGGTTCTGAAGTTTAATGATATCAATGTCTTTGATAATCAGAGCTTTTTTTCGGCCAAGCTGCTTCATTTATTTTCTTTTCATAACCTGTAGATGATGATACTTCTTGGGGGAGCAAAGCAGCTCCAAGTACAGCTTCGTCCTGGGGTGCAGCAGCAGGAGCACCTGCAGATAACAACAATCAAGGTGCTGGCTGGGGAAAAAGTGATGCTTGGGGAAAATCAAGTGCCAAAACTGAAGGTGACAGTAGTGCGCCAGATAACAATGATCAAGGTGCTGGCTGGGGAAAAAGAGACACTTGGGGAAAATCAAGTGCTAAAACTGGGGCTGACAGCAGCGCACCAGCAGATAACAATGATCAAGGCACTGGCTGGGGAAAAAGCGACTCATGGGGGAAATCAAGTTCTAAAACTGGGGGTGACAGCAGTGCCCCACATAACAATGATCAGGGTGCTGGCTGGGGAAGAAGTGGCTCTTGGGGGCAGAAGGCCGAACCTGCTGGGACGGGTCAACTGGATTCATGGGGCAAGGGTAAAAATGTTGTTGAAGCAGGATCATGGGGAAAGAATTCTGATGCACCATCTGGGGATATTTCAAGTCCTGGGTGGGGTCAACAGAAATCTTGGGACAAAGGAAATGCAGTCAGTAGTGATGGGCCTGCTTGGGGTAAGCCTCAGAATAAAGCCACAGGGAACTGGAGCAGTAAAGATGAATCAAGTGCTGGCGATGCAGGGTGGAAAAGTTCAGTACCAGCTGAAAATGTTCAGACTGGAAGCTGGGGTAAGGCAGGTGGCGGTTCAACCGAGAGTAAACAAGATGGCAGTTCTTCTTGGGGTAAGCCAGCTGGAGATTCATGGGGTAAACAAACTGGAGGCTCTTCATGGGGTAAACAAGCTGATGTAACCGCTGGCGGAGTGGGGAACAACGGAGGCAAGTGGGGCAAAGGATCTGTCACCAATGAAGAACAAAGTGGTGGAGGGGGAGATCAGGTTTCTAAATGGGGCCAAAAAGGCACTTGGAACTCAGGATCTAGTGAGACTGGTGGCAATCAAGAATTTAGTTGGGGTAAGAAAAGCGATGGGAACATCGGATCTACTTCCTCAGGTGGGAACCAAAATTCTACTTGGGGCAAGACAATCAATTTGAACTCTGGATCTGGTGACACTGGTGGAAATCTTGATTCTAGTTGGGGGAAGAAGAGTACTTGGAATTCTCAATCTAGTGAGAATAGTGGCAATCAAGATTCTAGTTGGGGGAAGAAAAGTGATTGGAAATCTGGATCTGATGACACCGGTGGGAACCATGATTCAACTTGGGGCAAAAAAAGTAGTTGGAACTCAGGATCTGGTGATGCAGATCAGAAATCTAGTTGGGGCAGTAAAAGCAGTTGGAATTCAACAGATGGTGGGAATGGAGACCAACCTGAGGATTCAAGTGGTGGGAGAGGTGGACGGGGTTTTGGAGATGGTGGGCGTAGAGGGGGTTTTGGGGGAAGAGGTGGAGGCGGGGGCAGTGGTGCTTGCTTCAAATGTGGTGAGTCCGGGCACATGTCGAGGGAGTGTCCCCAGGGCGGTGGAGGTGGTAAAGGTGGTGCTTGCTTCAAGTGTGGTGAGTCTGGGCACATGTCGAGGGAGTGCCCCCAGGGCGGTGGAGGCGGTAAAGGTGGTGCTTGCTTCAAGTGTGGTGAGTCCGGGCACATGTCGAGGGAGTGCCCCCAGGGTGGTGGAGGCAGTAAAGGTGGTGCTTGCTTCAAGTGTGGTGAGTCCGGGCACATGTCAAGGGAGTGCCCCCAGGGTGGTGGAGGCGGTAAAGGTGGTGCTTGCTTCAAATGTGGTGAGGCAGGGCACATGTCGAGGGAGTGCCCCCAGGGCGGTGGAGGTGGTGGAGGTGGTGCTTGCTTCAAGTGCGGTGAGTCCGGGCACATGGCAAGGGACTGCTCCCAAGGCGGTGGGGGCTATGGTGGTGGCAACCGCAGCGGTGGTGGAGGTGGTGGTGCTTGCTACAAGTGTGGTGAGTCGGGGCACATGGCGAGGGACTGCTCCCAGGGCGGTGGAAGCTATGGTGGTGGCAGCCGTAGCGGTGGAGGTGGCAGCAGTGGTGCTTGCTTCAAGTGTGGTGAGTCAGGGCACATGGCGAGGGAGTGCCCCCAGGGCGGTGGAGGTGGTAGCAGTGGTGCTTGCTACAAATGTGGTGAGTCTGGGCACATGGCGAGGGATTGCTCCCAGGGCGGTGGAGGCTATGGTGGTGGTGGCCGTAGCGGTGGTGGAGGCGGTGGTGCTTCCGGTGGCTGCTACAAGTGCGGACAGTCCGGCCATTTCGCAAGGGAGTGCCCCAACAGTGGTTAAACCAGCAATCGTACCCTTACTGCCTTCTGCTGCTGCTGCTGGTCTGTTAGCTTTTGCTTAATTTAATCGGGTTTTACTATGAATCAAACCGAACTCTTTTCAGTAATCCTGTATGTTGGTTTTGTGGGCCATCTTTGTTGCTTCCCATCTGTCGAAACATGGATCCATGATGATGATGATGCCTTTTGATGTAGTAATTTTTCAACCTTCTTTTTCCTTCCTATTTTCAAGTTACAAATGAGGATTTGCTATTTTTGGCAGAAAAAATGTTGGATCTCTGCTCCTTTATGAAAAGTCTCTTTATCTGTTTGACAAATATGCTTCCAAATTTTTTGCTTTACCTTATTTTCCAGGAAAATGATTTTCGCACTCCAACTGTCACCTCTTGCAGTTCTCCATCATCCCACGCTTCGGGGTGGTTGTACAAACATGTTTTCGGATGATTTACACACTCGGTAATAAGGCAAAATCTCTCTATTCTTATTATGTGGCTATATATACGGTGATGTGACGTGTTAGAATCTCTTAGTAAAAGACTTGGAAATTTTAAAGAAACACATAGTAAGTGCTCGTTTGGGAAGTACGTTTAAAGTACGTTTAAACAACTGAAAATATTTTTAGAGAAAATCTTTTTGAAACTAAATATTGGTAAAAATACAAGTTAATTTTGAAAAAATATTTCAAATGTTTTTGGAACTTAATAATGTTTTTTTTAAAAGCGATTTTAGTTATTTAAAAACACACAGCCAAATTTTGTACACGTCCAAGGGAGAAAGAAGAAAAAACACTAAAATAGTTGATATTTTAGTAAAATTTCCAAATAAAACGAGATATTTTAACAGAAAGTCAATAACTTTCCATTTATGGTGTAGCTTTACTCCCCCAGTTCGAACAAGAGTGACCATAAACTACTTCCTCAATCAAACACTCCACTCTCCAAACTTTCCCACACTTTCTCTGCAAATTTTCCCACCTCCCAAACACCCAAATGATTTCCAATCCCCAATCCCTCTCCCCCCAAATCCCTCCTTATCCCCTCCCCAAAACCCTAACTTTCCTCTCCATTCCAGTCTCCTAGGTCCTCCTTATCCCTTCCCAAAATTCCCTACAAAAAAAAAAAAAAAAAAATGCTCACCAGAATTCTTCATACACACACAGCTCCGCCGAGCCGCAAATCTCCACGCCACAAAACCCGATTTCCCACAATCCGCATTTCCGAAGTCTCATACCCCCTTGAGGTCAACAACTATCGCACGCCTCCTTCTTCCACCCCCATGGCAAACTCTCCCTCTCTCCGAGACGAGCCGCCCGTTTTCGGACCGCCAATCGCGGCCCTCACCTCTTCAAAAGGAAGAGGCATCACACGAGCTTCGCTCTTTCTACGCGTAATTTTGAGTTCTCCGAGTCATGCCTCAATCATGTCAGTGCTGTGCAAAAGGATGGCTCAAGCTGCCAATACACCTACATGACTCGAGTCGTATCATTCATCGAGCACTGAGGCCTCCTATCCTGCAGCTCCGCTTTCGAGACCATGCCAGACAGGAGCTCCATCCCATGGTGTTCATCACATCTATCGGTGCCCTGCCCTCGTCATCTCATTGCAATCTGGTCGCAACGCGACAGCATGGATGAGAGTCTCTTTTAACATCAGTGTCATTAACCCATGACTTGGCCCTCTGTGTATTAGCTCACCCCACAGGATCTGCTCACATGCACTTGAATCTATCTTGTTTAACGATCAGATACATTTCTCGGCCTCTCCACTCTGAAACACGCAATTCAGTCTAACACAAATGTTGCGCGGAGAGCGGGAGACACTTGATCCACATTGGGTATTATGTTGCATGAGGTTAATGATGATGTGTTTTTCGACATTGTCACGTGTAGGATTCGGGCACCGGACACCCGAAGTCATTGACTAACACGGGCCATTTTTGCATAAGCGAAATTTACTAAGGGCAAGGTAATTCTCATGGTTTATCCAGACCCTTATCAATTGGCAGAAGGACCATGAACATATGTGTTGCATATGTAAGGTTTATATCGAGACTCACAGCAACAATGCGATCTGGTTGGTGATTTTGTGTGATGCTCATGTGTGGCAGGAGTCCTTCTAGGGCAGTAATGTGCATAGGAGGATTCGGCTTTTGGTCGATTGCCCGCGATGCAAGAGGAGCATTTCAAGCTGTTCAAATTATGGTGGCGATTACATTCCCCATTACCTTCACAAACCCACACGTCACGTCATCTAGCTGTATCATTACACAGTTGCCTATTTGTATTTCAATCACCAGAATATTGTTAGATCAAGGAGTTTCATAAGTTTGGCCCACGAACGCGGTGCATCAAGGGGTTATTGAAATTAGTCATTGGCCGGGTATATTCCAACCATTATGTCAAGACTAGGAGGTTTTCTGTTTTCCATACTTGGCAGCAGTTATGGAAGAATGGTGCTTTGCCAGGCTACACAGGCTTGCACTGCAGTTTCAATTAGATAATTTGCAGTCTCGCATATTTTTCAGCAACAAGATTCAGGCACTGCCTGTCATTAATCAGCCACATGGACTCATTTCCCAGGTGACACAAGTCAAAAACAGTTACCACTGTTCTCTATTTACGTCACGTAGTCAGCCATGGTTAGATATCTATATATAATTAGTTTTCACAATGGCGTATTCCAAAAGCATCTTTTATCGGGAGCAGGGGCATTTTGGTTTTATAGAGGCAATGACATACTCATGTGTTTTTCCATCTAGGTCATATGGTCTTTCACTGATACCATTCGAGAGATTGGAAGCCACTATTTTAAGGTTGAGCAATCAAAATGTGTCATTTCAGTGTATCTTAGACTTCGGAGGTGAAATGAACACCTAAGTCTTTACAGTCAATGATGTACGACATTTTTACCCTTTGTTTCATTAGTCACATATGGCTTGATTTGCATATCTGACTATACTCTCGGTCCCATTTACTCTTGTCAGCTGATTTGACTAGTGTTTCCGGTTGTGTGCCTCTCCTTTTCCATTGTCACTTCTCCCACACCTTCTTGTACTGGATACAGATACCGAGTACTGAGCCATTGACATACCTACAACCAGAATCAGTATGAAAATGCAATTCACTTTCGCGACACTTAGATGAGTGTCATTTACCCAAAGTGGTGATCTCACACCCAATTGAGGTTTCAGTTTATTAAATTTCTTCACACTGTTGGCCAATTACAACATTCACATGTGCCAGTACTTATTGTTTGGCCACATGAAGGAATTTTTGTGCTTTAGGTCTCAATTTAGTTTAATTTAAGACAATGTTTCGCTCAATAGCATGCTCGCATCAGTTGTTTTAGGTGTCACATAGGGATCACATTAGTCAATTGTTAAATGTCTCATGCACTTATCATGCAGAGAGCGGAGTTGAGACACTACTTCCATTAATGAATGTGCGCGACTCCATTGTTCACCCAAGTAAAGTTTCTTGCTAGAGAGTTTACTTTTCTCTATTGTCAAGACTAGAGTGCCAATTGGGTCTTTGTTTATCATAACTATTTTTGAATGGCATGCTTGTTTTCTATGCTCTTGGTGGTATCACTACTACTTACTTCCAATAGATAGCGTCCCCTTCTTTTAATCAACATGGGTGTTTTTTTTCCTTCTAACAGTTTGCATTGGTGACAAGGGTTCATTTATCAGATGATTGGAGAATCAATGGGTTTTTGACAAATTTGAGTAATAGACGCTCCAATTATAATTCACATCCTGCAGCAAAATTTTGGAGTGGTTGCAGAGCAAGCTAAACATCATGGGCATTTTTTTTTATTAATTTAACAATGGCAACACGGTTCACAATAAATCTCTGTTGTCTTACTCAGCTGGCTTACCATATCCAGCACTGGGATGGCAGCCATTTTAACTGCTGTTTATTGATTCATCAGGCTGCCCCATCCAGTTTTCCTTCTGTTAGCCCTTAAGCAATTCATATTGAAAGCTACTCCTAGGTCATCACACTTGCAAGACATTTGGGTGTCCATGCATCCCCATGTATACCCTACTGTTCGCAAAAGAGGGTTGTCATCCACATTGGCTCACAAAGAGTCACAGAGCACTACTGGTGTTTAATTGTCCTTGCGAAGGATAACTAATAGCACTCCGATAATCATCTCAGTGTGCTTATGGGTTTCTAGCCATACGCATGTCTACTTACAATTCCCATTAATATTTTGAAAGGCACGATGTGCTGTTTGAGAAACTAAGTCCTCAGCTTTGTTCCTCTTCTCATCATCACATTTTCTATACTCTGCTGTTTCCACTCACATTTCTCTTTCTTGGGCCCCTCATCTCTTACTCACATTCTTAATCCTATTCTCTCACTATACTCATCATACATATTCCTTCCTCTTTCAATCGCATACAAGTATCCATCGCCATTCGCTTTTACTTCAAATTTCATTCCACTAATCTCTATCTGGGCAGTTCTATATCATATGATACAACTCCTAGTCATCTTACCTTGTCAATCACCACTGATCACCACAAACATATTCTTCTTGCAATGCAAGTCATGCATTTCAAGATTCCAACTGAAGTGTTTCTAAACTTAACAGTCGGCATTTGTGCCAGGTTGCTGCACCGACTCTTCTCAAACTTGTTGCACACAGTCGATGCCACCACGTTAACTTTAATTTCATCAAGACAAATCCGTAATTAGGTGATCAATTTTACCGTTAGTCTTTGAAGCATGAGAACCCAAGAACGCCACACACAGGTCACTCGGCACACACCAAGCACCGAATCCCATCAGGCTAATGCATCAGGAATCGCGCTCCACACAGCATTGTTCCCAAGTGACATGGTCACAACAACCAAGCAAAATCGCTATTTTGCAATAGTTGCAAACCAAGCAATAACTTAGAGATCAAGAAAACCAGTACTATCGAAGAATTGGTAAAGATGCACGCGAGAATTGACCTTGGACAGCAGAATATCAAACAGCATCAACCATGCGCCTGAAATGATGCACTATGAGCGCGGAGCATGAGAGATGAGCTGGTCACAAGGTTACATGGTATTTACACTAGAATCATAGGAATATCAATTCAAATTTTCTACTTAGATGGTTTTTTTTTTCAAACTCGTTGCAATGGCGAAGTCCTTCCAAGCCTACAGATAATCCGTAACGGAGGAAAATATAGATATTGTAACAAGGTGAAATGACTGATGGCAGATTGTGAATGCTTGCAAAAGGGAAAAGCTACGTGCATACTTTCTTTTAATTATACATATCCTACTTTAGGCTGTGTTCATTCTCTGGGTCAAATTACTCG